AAAAAATTTCCTAATGAAGTGTACTATTATCCCAATAGTCATATTTTTAACATTTGACAATGTGAATAGTATCCTTTAAGCATAAGCCAATGGGAGATTGATGAAGAGGTCAACTCTCCATACTTAGCCATTAAGGTTTTTTTTTTTTTTTGGTGTACATTGTGACGTGTGCTTTGCTCCAAAGCTTTTGAATGAGAAATTTATCATTTAATTTTTCTCATTTTAAGATTAACTCGAACATAATTTTAACATCACATCAAATGAACGACGTGTTCAAAACTTCGTATTTGTTTTTTTGTTTTATTTTATTTTTGATTTGATTTGAGATATTTTTGATGATGGGAAAAATGTGTGTTGGGATGTTACTATCAATCGTTTTATAATATTGTCGGGTGATAAAGTCCATTCTATTTTATCTAAGCCAAAGGAAAATGAAGAAAAGGCATAGGGGTAGGCAGGTTTGCATACATATTAAGCATGCATTATTACTATTAATTTTTCCAAATGGATTTGAGAAAAAAACAAAAGTTAGATGTGTGCACCTATCAACTATCAATGCTAATTCAATTGACATCATCCTATATTACCAAAAAAATGGAACCTTTTGAAAAGTAATTATGTCTTTTACTTTGTTGCTTTATCATCATCTTAATACTTTTTTACGATCTACTTAATAAGAGATCGTAAGATCATAGTTTAAAATATTTAATAATATATTCAACTATGATCGGGTAATCCATTACTTGGACATTAATAATTCGAAGCAAACGTAAATAGAACCCTAAAGCCAATGCAACCAAAACAGGATGGAATGGTCCATCTGCCTAGTGGTTGAGGCACATAACATGGTGGAAACTTATAGCACATTGCCTTTGGCATGACTTCATATTAAGCTTCTTCTTTCTTCTTTTGTTGTTAAAAAACCTAATCATGGTAGTGGTGGTGCCAGCTCAAACATTTGAGGCAAGCTAGTGTGTTAGTACTAATTGTTTTGCAGTACCCCTTATGAGGCCAAAAGATCCATGTTGCATGGAAAGAAAGAAAGAAAAAAAAAAGCACTTGAATATAAGGTCCAGGGAACCACGTGCATGGCACTATCAAAGCAAACCCCCCACTCCTAACACCCACATGGACCTCTTTTTCCCATCATGTTAGGTGAATTAGCACATGGGGGTTGAGTTTATGTTGCTTGATTTCTTCATCTTTAGAGAATGGGTATGTATTTTGTACATTTGCTAGCTAATTTGTGTCGTATTTTTGGAGAAATAATTGATGCTTGACAAACCTATTTTCTTCATAAAAATGATTATAGCCCCAATATTGGGGCCTTTTTGAAACACTAGGTCCCCCCAATTTTGATGAATTAGCTTTGATTTGTTGATTGGATATAACCCCTTTTTTTTCTTCATTTATTGGAGTACTATGCAAAATGTGGTCCAATATAAGTACTTGCTGGTATATGTCAAGTTCACTATAAATGTGTATAGACCTAAACAAACTGTTTATATTCCTGCAATGTCAATGTACAGTGTTTATACAATATTACTTATCTCATAAATGTGTGACCGTAAAAGTTAAAAGTCAATGTATAAAATCTATACATCAATAATTGATTAAATATAAACTTAAAAAAAAAAACGTATACTGCAATACGCATTAAATCCTAAATTAATTAATTAGGTTAAGTAAATCAAGATTTTTTGGAACTTGATGATCATCTCAAGTTTTCCTATTTTCCAGTCAAACCCAAAATTTTTTTAATACTTTAAAAAACAATAGCACCGAGATCTGGCAAGATCCAGCATAATCAAGACAGTGCAGCTTCCACAGCGGGGGATTGTTCTCATTTCTTAATATTGATTACAATTCCCTACTTGGGATGCCTTTTGATACAAAATATTTTAAGAACCCTAATTCTTAATTCAATAAAACATTGTCAGACAGATTAGGGTTCTTAATTTGTACGAAAACCAAAGCAAATCAAAACATTTGATTGATTAAAAAAATTCTTTAATTTTCGGTTAGTACACTCGATCTCGATGATCCCTATTCCAACAAGAAATTAATATTAAAAGATATTTTTTTTAATTATTAATACCTATCTCGACATAAACTTGATTTTATATCGATCGGTTAATACGAGTGAAAACATGTGATTTTGATCCAAAAACTCCATGATGAAAAATGGGATTTGCTTTATTGAAAAGTTAATTAATTTAGTCTTGCACTCAACCATGACCTTCCCCTTTGATTATTTGTTTTAAATTTAAATTAATACATGTGGAAAAAAAAACTCAAAATGGAAAAAATTTTCCCCCTAAAGACACGCAATTATCAAAAAGTAAAACACTTTGTCTTTCTTAATTATAACTTAAGAATTAATATTTTGATGGGGGCGGGGAACATATGCAATTCAGTCAAATGAGTGCTTTCTTTTCTTTGTTTAATTAAAGTAAACACTTTAATCAAAGTCATTCTCTTTTTTGGTATATCAAAAGGGCAAATTTCATTAGTTTGATCTTTTCTTTTTCATTTTTTTAATGTTGAATGGACTTAATTTTGCTGTCAATAATTATTTTTTTCTTTTGCTTGTCATTAATTAAATGTCAATTATTATTTTTATATTTTATGATATTGATATAACTTAATGTAGACGAAAAAAAATCACTTATTAAATCAGTATGTCATATCATTATTTATTATAATATATTAATATATTATATTAATAACGTGTAATATTCACTTTAAAAAAATGTAATATAATATTTGATTTAAAATAAAAATATAAAAATTTATTAAATATAATAAAATAATAATTTATATAAATTTTTTGAATAATTCATAGTTATTTTTCTAATTAAATATTTTGCAACAATTGATAATTTTTCTATATTTATTTTATACCTTAGTAAACGAGTCTTTGCAGTATTGCAAGGGGCATAAGCATTTGTCGTTCCTCTATATTTAGAAATAGTAAACACCGGTTGACTTGGTTTTTGTTTAATTTATGACTTTTTCTGGAGAGAAATTCAGCTAAAATTACACTATATATATATATATATATATCCCCTTCTTTGGGGCTACTAGCTAACTAGCTAATGCCTATCCATGCAACAATATTGAATTTTAATTTTTTTTTATTATTTGGGATCCAATTAAATTACTTATTCAATTTGAAAAACAACAGAAAAAAAAATTACCTAATGAATTCCACTTATATCCCTTCCTCCGAAACAAAAAAAGAAAAAAAAAAGAAAAACCTTATAGCAAAGACAATTCACTAAGTAACATAATCCAAACAACTATAGTGTGAACAATATGGATTAAAGTTGGATTCATTCTTTGCCCACAATGGAAAAGAAATGAAGAAACAAGTTATCCAAATATGGATAAATCTTCTTTTCTTTTTTTTTTATTTAGTTGTTTCGAGAGTCAGATTTGAATTTAAAATTTTCCTTTATTGTAAATGTCATACTTTTCTATTATTATTAATATATATATATATATGTATATATAGTGAGTTAAAAGATAAGTTTTTCAAATAAGAGTGAAAGGCCGAGTATCCTTTTGTGTGTATGGTCCTCCTGAACTCCTCATCCGACAAAAGATAAAGTGCCCCATGAGCTATGATCTATTGTCGTGACAAACCTCCTGATTCCCCTTCATCATCGTAAAATTGACAACCCAAAGTTTTTTTATTCAGTTATTTTATATTATGTGATGCTGTGTATTATCATATTAACTAATTTAATTGTCAATACTTGAATTCAAATTATTTTTATTATTGAAATGAATAGATTAATCATAAGACAACGTCAAGTAATATTAGTCAATCTAATCCCATCTCAATTTCTTTACTTATTTAATTGAAAATAACACAAATGACTAATACTCAAGTTGGAAACATCTTGTTATGGAAACAAACAATTTAATCAATTATTAATTTTTGAATATATATATATATACTTACTTAAAAGAAGAAGGATATTCGAACTACAAATACATATATTTTCATATTAAAAAAAGTACATATTTTGAATCTTCTTCTTTCTCGACTTAAAAAATTATAAACTTAATCAGTTTGTGAAGTTTATTAATAAAAACCAACAAAAAATTTTCCCAAATTCACAAACTTCCCCTCAATGAAAAGGTCCAACACATGTAAAAACACATGTTCATGTTCATGTAGGGTTCCACATATATTGGGTTTAGTAATCAAAACGCTTTACTTTCTTTTGCATTAGTATGGGGGAGGCTTTCCCCAAATCCAACCAAATAATCAAAATCTTATCCATATTTGGGTGGGAAATCCTTTTGTAGAAAATGACCAAAACACCCTTAACTGCCCCTTTTCATTTGGCCTCTTCAATCTGAGTATCACCTAGAGTGGGGGACTAGCTGCCGTAAGACAAGTGGACACATATCCCGTGAAATGAAAAAACCACTCTCCTTTCCTCCAAATTTTTGTCATTTCCAATCCACTTTACTCTTTTACCCCCCGCCCCCTTTCTTTTTTACATTTTTGTTTTTTGTATGGGGAAGAAAAAAGTTTGTTGTCCTGGTTCTCTAGAAATGAATCTCATCAGATTCAAGAATGATATACACTGCATCACCATCCACATTGATAGCCACTCACAAACCAATCTCCACCGTCTGATTTCAACCAAAGAACTCAGTCAATTTTTCTTTTGATATTTTTTGCTTTGTCAGCGACAATGACAAGGCTCTAGCTCAGGTACACCTTAGCCTAGCATGCACCCACCTCAATCAATCAATCATACAAATTCTGTAGCCGTTTGCTATATATTTAATTATTTAAAATAACAATTAATATAAAGAAGTTATAATATTAATTAATTATTGAGTGAAAACAGAGGAAAAAAGGGCAAACAAAGGGGGACCATTGAGGAAAAATAATACTTTTAAAAGAGATCCTTCCCACTTGGGGCAAACTATGCTTCACCATACAGACACAACTCTCTCTCTCTCTCTCTTTTCTCAATGGCTTTTGTCTTTATCTCTGAGCTATGATATCTTTCTTTCCAGGCTAAACGCTTACCTTGATTTTCAACCTTTGATTTGCCCCTCGGGAAGCACGAAAAGTTAATCCAACGGTTTAGAATAAAGGGAGACCGACTCATGGGAGCCAATACTTGTCTCTCTCAGGAACTGATACTAGAACGGGTATTCCTTTTTTCTCTTTGCATTAAATAAAATATTCTTAGCTTTCATTTGTTCACTTATTTTGACCGGAACTCCACTTTGCTTTCCCCTCTATATAACTCTTTCCACCCGCCCTCTCTCTCCTCATCCTATCCTCCTCTCTCTGCGTAACCCTGTCTGTCTTCAGTTCCTCAAAGCTCGGTTCTTTTCCCTGTTTTCCTCTGTTTTTTGCAATGGCTGAGCAGCAGGCACCATTAAAGCGCCAAAGAGATGAAATCCAGAGTTCCCAGGGCTCGGAAGAACATGTAGTCGAAGAGTCGAAACGCCACAAGTCATACAATCACATACTCTCCTTGCTCGAAGCGGAAGAGGACGAGCCAAACCAAGACTTGTCTTCTCTTATCACAACTCTGCAACATGAACTCTCTTCTGACTCTGTCTTAGACGACCCTCTTCCTTGCCCAACGGCAACAAATACTTTAGGAGCTGACCGAGAAAACCAGCTCACGAGAGCAGCAGGCACGAACACCACCACCACCACCACCACCACCGTGGAAGACTACACTTCGGCAACATCTTCCTTGAAAGAAGATGAGGACCAGAATGATAAAGAGAGGGTCATTAGACATTTGCTCGAAGCTTCTGATGATGAGCTCGGGATCCCAAACAGAGAAGATGGCGATGGTCTTGGTGTTGAAGTTGTTGAGTATGAAGAACGTTTCAACAATGTTGGAAATGGTTTTGCTCTCTGTGATGGGTTATGGGAGCTTGAAGATGAGGCTGCTAATTACTATACTTTGTTGCAGTCTGAACTCTTCATGTAGCCAAAAAAAAAAGGAATGAAATTAGGAAGCAGAAAGAAATGGTAGGGTAAAAAAGTAGAAAAAAGGAAAAATATGGGAGTGTGGGAGAAAATTGAAAAAATGAAGGCGTTTTTTTGGGTTAATTCATTTTGGACCCCCCCCCCCCCCCCCCCCCCCCCACTCTTTGAAAATTGCACAAATTCCCCTATGTTTCTATTGTTCTTTAGAAAATTGAAATTGTAGAAAAAAAAGGACGAGGAAGATTATTCGTACTATTTTGCCCCAAATTTCCTCAATATTCAGGATTCAGTAGTCCAAAAAAGGGAAATAATTTAAAGAATAAAAGGAAATTGTACGGTATTAGGTATTATTACTCACTTTACTTTTTCCATTTTAACTTTTCACTGCGATTGGTATCTTTTACTCTAAACGGTAGAAAACGTCAAAAAGGGGGTTTGCCATGAACGGGAAAGGAAAAGCTTTCATCGGATACGCCATCGATATTTCACTTTTATTGTATTCTTACTCGCCAACCTAAGACGTGGCAACACGCTCCGAGGACGTTGGTAAATAGTTAATAGGCACCAGATAATCTTACTCCTCTTTGATTGGAATAGCTGTCACAGTCACTCTTTTCCACATTGAAACTAATTTAATTATTGGTCCGTGACTTGGCGTGAAGCGTGACGGGGTGATGATAAGAAGTAAGAAACGCCGAGGCTTCTGCATGAAGATTGAAAAAAAATAATAAAAAAATAATAAAAAAATGGAGTGCAACTTGGCAACTTTAGGGACCAGGTGGGACCGCACGGGGACAGAGGAAAAAACTCTCCCTGTCGCTTTTTGGACAGTGAGTTGGACCCTACCTTTTGTGATGTGAGATGCTGATGGGCCGGGGGACTATGAGTTGTCCGCCATGTCTCACACACTTGGATGATCCAAATCAAATAATGATGATGGATGATTGACGGACATATTTGGCATGGAATGCAGAGACGCATGAACCGTTTGATCATATCATGACGGATGAGATTAGTTGGCAACGGCTGCGGTGGTTGATGATGCTTAAGATCATGAAGAATGAGATGCCCGCCGGCTTTGATTAGCCACAAAAACAAAAGGTCACATGATTTTTTTGTGCTTTAATAATGTGGAGAGTTATAATGTAAGAAAAAGGGGGGAGAATTATACTACATAGATGATGGCTTCTCTCTAAAGATAAACATACTTTTGACTCAATTAAACGAGATTAAGATGTTTTATAATTAAATTTTGAATAAAGTTAAGGTAATTAAATTATTATTTATTATAAATTTAAATAAAGTTTGAATAGTGGGTTAGGGTTAGGGTTATGTTAAAGCTTTTTTTTTATTTCGAGATCAAATTTTTGATTTTTTCTGATTTTTTTTCAAATATTAATAATCGGATTTGAATGTTAAGCATTGATTTTATTTAGGTTTGGGTAAAATATGGGTTTGAATATTTCAAAATTAAAATTTAATTTATAATTAGGCTTATTTAGCTTTTCAGTTGAAAAGAAAAAAGGGACAAGTAACACCTGAACTGTACTTTGAGTTCCCTACCAGTACCATGCTGGAAGAAATGTGAAAGGAATTTTATTAAGCAAATTGTCAGTTGGAAGAACTTTGGCCTTCACAGAAATGCATGAGTTGGATATATGCTTCTACACAGATTTCTTGCCAAAGCAACCTTGCCCACATGTAATTTAGATATTCCTTTAAAGTAGAACTAAATTTTCACAACTTTTCTTTTTAATTTTCCAAAAAAAAAAGACTTCAATTTCGATTTTTTAAATTGAGAATATATGTACCTATTTTCGATTTAATCTTCAAATATAATTTTAATTTTTTTAAAAATGTTTTATGATTGTATTATGAGAGAAATTTAAATTCAATATTGCTTTTCGCCAAGTAATAATTCAATGGTATATTTTAATTTTTGATAGAATCATCTCAAAATTTTTGTTAGTTAACATATTTCTAAAATGTTAAATTTTCAGATGAATAAATAAGGTATAACATTTTGAAAAATTACTGATTTATTGAAAAAATATTTTAATAATTTTTTATTAGTTTATTATGTTTAATTTCATGTACTATTAACGAAAGATTATTTATTATTATTTAAAATATTATTTTTTATTTTTTATATTTATATTCTGTTGATATGAATAGTAAAAAAACTATATCAATATGAGAAATAAAATAATAAATAATTATTTAATTAAAAATAAACACATAAAAACTTAATAAAAACATAATAAAAGAAGAAAATTTTATTTAAAATTTTGAAAAATAATTAAAAAATATTTTAAAATATTATGATGATAATTAATTTGTGACAAAATACTTAAAAAAGACTAACACGTGTCACCTGATGGAATTTTTCATTTTCACGTTTTAACAAAGAAGAATTATTGCTTAGAAGAGTCAGTTTTTCTTTCTTTTCTTTCTTATTTATTTATTTATTTATTATTATTATTAAATATTTGAGACAAAGTCAAGAAAAATTTTCCAAAGAAAAGGTGGCGTGTTAATACGGCTGCTGTCCAATTCAAAGGGGAGAACAAATTTCTTTGAATTAAAACTCTAATTAAAATTCAAAGCCGTCAACCTATTTGATAAAGCAAATGATGTTGAAATTTGACTTGTAAAATCTGAAAACTTATTATTGTTTTTTATTTTTTATTTTTAATTTTCTCGACTTTGACAAAGCCTTTCTTTGAAGGGCCGTGCCGTATCCGCCATGATCCTTCCTTGTGGCTTAAGTTTTTTGATCGGACGTTTTCCAAGCAGTCGATAACAAGTTAAAGTCAAAAGATTTCATTCTGTGGTTCTCAAATCAAACTGTGAAATTACAAAGACTAGCAATAGGATCATAATCAGATAATTCAGATTTTTTAAATAATACCCGTAATTTCAGGTATAAGAATATCGAATTATATTTAACTCAAAAAGTCGAAAACGATTTGTCTTAATAAATTAACTTTAAATGTTAAAATTTATTTATTTATTTTTTTTTTGAATCAAGATAAGAGGAAGATTTCTTTTCTGTGTAATTCAAGTTTGATAAACTTATCTGCATATAAAAAATTTTAATCTTTTTTTAGCCCTAATGTGGATATTCACCAATGATGTTGATATCTCCCAAATTTCATAAAGATTGGAATTTTCCACAATGAAGTGCAGATTCAAAGAGTGAAGCATATGATAAGTTTTCAATTCAAGGTTGTCCACATTCCTGCACTATGAACAAAGAATTAGAAAACTATTTTTTATACTTTTCAAAGAGGAGGCAAGCAAGCCACTTGAATTTTTGGATTTTTGATAAAGACGATAATGGGTATCTTTTAATTAGATATTTACAAAAATTCGATTCGATTATATAAAATACGAGTAATATATATTCGAATTTGAAACGAATTTAAGTAACAAATTTAATCTTTAAGATTCCCCCATTTGCATTGTTGCAATTCGAGTTGGTGTCAATTTTAATGGGATAATGCCAATGGCGGAGGGAGGGTGATGGTTCAGTTTTTGTTTTTATGTTTTTTATTATTATAGGTATAAAATTTGAGATATTTAATTATGATTTTATACAATTATCTTTTAATTATTAATAATGTAAAGCTTTAGATCTGTTTTTGGAGAGAGTATAGACCTAAGAATGAAAGGCAAAGTTGCACCACAAATTGGGCATCTAATAATACTCATTGGTGGAGAGACAATGAAAGATATCCCCCCCATTTGTCACGTTTGTGCGTTATGTTTTCCTTGCCCATCACTTCGGTCAAATTAAGGTTGTTCTTTCCCCAACTCCCAACCACACTGGTTTGAATTTGTGCTTCTTTTTACTTTTGTTTTTTCTTCTTATTGTGATCACACAAACGATTCTGCTTTTGTTTCGATAACCCAAATAAAGACTAATCACAGAGTTGAAACGTATTTGAATTTACCAATTGGGGGAAGGGGTGGGAGTAGGGAGAGGGTGAGGGTGAGGGGAATCAAAGCCAAAACCCATAGTTGTAGGTGTGAAAGCTGATGCTGAGCAGGTGATTGCAGCATGCTGCAGTCATCAGATAAAAGAACTGTGGGGGGCAATTGGCAAGTTGGTGTAAAGCAAACCATAAACGGATAAAAACACTGGAAAGGAAAGTGGTTGGTTGGTTGGGGCGTCCAAATCAGACTCCCCCTCCTCAAAAAGCCACAGGAAGAAAAGAAGCCAAGTACGTGTACGACAGTGCTGTGTTTTTTAAGAGATCTACAGCCTGGCTTTGATGGTTATTTGCCTTTGGTTTTTCTTCTCTCTTGGCTTTGCTTTCTAGAACATCGAATTGTTGTTGGGTGTTTTAACTTGCAGCAAACACATCTGCACATGCATAAAAAATATCCCAGATGAATACAAAAAACACCCCACCAATGGTAGTTGGTTGCAAGTTTCCATGTGTGTCTGGACCCTCTCTACCTGATCTTTCTTTTCTATCAAACTATGGTTTGTGTTTACAGAGGGAAAGAGAACAATATTTTTTTGTTTCTCCCCTCTGATATTTCTTGACGTTTGAACCTGAATTAGGCCAACCAGATCATCAGTTTTTTCGATTTAATCAGGCAATTATTAATTTGATTATGAGTTTGACACTGACCAGTACCTTGGATTTTATGACTGTAACACTGAATCAATCATGGAGGGCACTCAAGAATGCAGAATTATGGTCACATGTCTCATCAAATCAGAGTTTGCAAAAGCCAAAGATTTTCCTGAGGGCCCCGAGTTCTTTTGAGGAAGAAAAGAAATCTTATTCTAGCAGCAACCCGTGAAGATTTAAGCCATTGAAAGTATGTGGTGAACAAAAGCCTAATGGCAAACCTCCCTTACAGGTGATTACATGGAGGAAAACCAGTCCTTTTGGTTTGGAAATTTTGCAATGGATTCCCAAGAAGCCTTCATGGGTGTTAAAATTTAAGCCCCAATGCTCAGCCAATGGAAACTTGGTTAAAAGTTTCACCTTTTCTTCAACTTTGGAAGCGATCTGATCTTTTACACTTAGCAAAATTGTCTTTGGTTCCAAACAATTGATTCCTACTCAAATCATTCGATGTTACTCTTTGGGAGATCATTCAAGTAAAATGGTGGATGCTGTCTTCTTTTCTTTTCTTTCATTGTTTCATTTCATGCCATTCATTGCACCACAAAACACTCTGATAACAGATTGAGCAGAGCAAAATCAGTTCAGCTGATGTGAAATTTTGCCACCCAAAATCTTATCACTCTTCATGATCTCGAGATTAAACCACCATCTTGACATAATTTTGTCTTCCCAAAGCCACAAAATGTTGGAACTTCAGCATAAAAAACAGTGCCAGAATCCCTTTCCTTACAAGGAAAAAATATGGACTTGGCTGATCTATTTGTGTCAAAAGAATGCTCTTAAAATTATTCCTCCTTACAAAGTCTAAATTGCAATCTCTCAAGAGATTCCTGATAAAGCAAAAGTGGATCTTAGCAAAGTGCATACCAACACCTATGATCATTATTGGGGAGCTTTACTGTTGGTTTAAAGTTTTACCAGCTGGTTGGCACCATAAAATTCCTTGCTATACCACAAACTCTGCAAACGAATTCCATTTCCTACACTGGGAAATTGCTATCAACATTACAACAACCACAAATATAGAATATTTATCTGTTTCTCAGAGTCCATGAATACATATTTGATTGGCCCAGAAAGAAAGTTCTGGCTTTCTGCATAAAAATTTGGGCTATGTGCTTCTCAGAGTCCATGAATACAGATTTCAAGCCTAAGCCCAATACTATTATAAACGAAACCCTGTTTATGCTCCCAGGCCCTGGTATGGTCCAGCTTAAAGGCCTGTGAAACTCCTGAATAGGGTTTAAGCTATAGCCAACAATGGAGTTTTTCTTCGCCCTGGTTCACAGGAAAAAGAATGATCCTAGGTAGCTTTTGCTACTCCATCATTTACTAAAAGCTGAAAACCCCAATATCTATAAACCTCAAAAACATGCATTCCTTTAATCGCATAGCCAAATTCCTCACAAAGCCAACGATCGATTCAATTCACTCAAAATTGGCTAAACCCCAGTTTAATCCAACTACCCTTCTCAAGACCTTCTCCACTAAACCCCCTCAAAACGACAAAGACGACTCTTGGAACGACGCCTGGGAAACAGCTTGGCTCCCTGATGACATTTCACCCAAGAACAAGGCTCCTTGGGAAGCCGACGTCAACTTCCCGTCTAATGATGAAGAGTCAGCAACAAAGATGGTGCTTTCGTCGGACGTTGATGTAGAGACCAAAGCGTTTGTGGAGGACATGAATGAGAATTGGAATGAGAGACGGAAGTCGCCTAAACAGAAGCAGAAAGAGGAAGCAGAAAAGGAAAGGAAAGGAGAGGGTGGTGGATTGTATAGTTTGGAGAATATGAAGAAAGATTATAGGTTGAAGAAACAGAGGATCCATGCTGGGTTGTGGATGAAGGAGATTGATAAGTTGGAGGAAGCTAAGTTGGGGGATTCAGCTGATGACATTGATAAATTGCTTGATAGCTGCTCTGAGTATGTCCATCTTTTTTTACCATATTCCTTTTCCTGCTATGTTTATAATTGATTTGTTGACTTAATGGGTTATCTTGGTAGTTTTCTGAATTAGTTAAACTTAAAGATACATTCTTGAAACGAGAATGATAGTGTTCACCTTTTTGTTGACAAAGTACACTTGAATTGTTGTGGTTCGATTGCTTAACAAAGTGTAATCTGTTATAGGAATTGTTGGATATATGTTGGTTCGCGAAATATTCTCCTGGTTTAATCTACTCAGAATTGTTTGATTTGTCAAAACTTGTAAGACCAAAGTTCAATAGATAAAACATGGTTTACTTCATATTAGATTTTCCTATGTATGAAAACAAGTTAGAGTTTGTCTCCAAGGTTCCTTTGTAAAACACAATAATAACAGGGGGATTGCTTGCTGTGTCAGACACTTAATACTACTGACTTATAGGACTGTGCTTTGCCATTCTTTTAGCACAAGTTGTAATTCCATTGACAAAATCCCACCTTATCCTGTGGTGGGATATATTTTTTTATTCTCTATATGATCTTCTGAAGTTCTTTGCATGTCTGTCAAAGAAGTTGCTTATTTTTGTATCATCTCAGATACATTATTTTAAGGTTTTACTGTTTTTCACCAAGTTTGTTCTACAAGCCTGGGAGGTTGTCCACTGTTTTTTAGTTGTACTTGTTGGATTTAAAACATATGTATAATGGCAGGATTTTTGACTCTGCCAATGCTGACTTGGAGAATTCGAAAATTCAAAGCTCTTCTGAGTTCAAAAATAAGCCTGACGGTTGGGAAACAACATCAAAAGCACCTGATGGAAATGTGTGGGAGATGTCACAGAGGGAAGAAGATATTCTCCTCCAAGAGTTTGATCGCCGAATTGCTTACTGTAAATTCCAGGTGTTTGTTGTTTCTTATGAGCATTTTTGTCACCAAGTGCTTTGGTCTGATAACCCCAATGTTCTAGCCGCTAATCTCAATGCTTTCTTTTGATTTTTTGAAATTATACAGATAGCTAGTTTTATAAAGACTCACATATTTAGCCGGAGGAGACCTATTGATGGGTGGAGATACATGATAGAGGAGATAGGCCCTAACGCTAGGAAAGGCAAGGGCAGCGTTTCAAGGCTGCCAAGTTTGTCAGATGCATCAACACAACCATTTAAGGAGGATAAGATACAAATTGGAAGCAGTCTGACACCCTGGAAGGGGAGGTAGTTTGGTTCCTGCCTAACTCCAAACATTCTCCTTTGTATTCAAAGATCATAACATCTTCTTCGCCGCTGGTTGCAACAGATTGTTGCATCGAGCATTCTCAATACAAAATCACATTCTTGTGTAACATGAGATTTTGTAACTGAGCTCCAAAAGGCAAGATGGGGTATGTGTGAACTCTCTTGCAAGCACAAAGTTCTGAATGTAACTTGTGACATGAGATTTTGTAGCTGAGCTCCTACAATATACTTTTGATTCAATGATTTTAGCTACACAAGGAAGTTAAAAGTATTTTACAACACAAACTCTGTTTTTCCTACCAATGACTAGCAGTCCTACTCTGCAACTGGAAACAAGTCTTTGGGTCTTTCCTCCCATCCAAACGTAACCTTATTCCTCTCCTTTATTGACCCCGGACTACCGTAAACAAGAATCTTGAATCAAAAGCAAACAAGCCGACAACCTCTAACAATTCAAAATTTGTGCGCCAGAGAGTCCTGACGCTGGCTCATGAAATTAGCTAATGCTACCCGCCTAACTCAAACCCTGAAAATTTGGCCCAAGTCCCTCAATCCTGGACAATATCAAACTATCATTCCTGTATTAAGATCATGCAAACAAACGTCTGAAATCTCTCAAATCCATGGCTATGTTATCAGAACTGGCCTTGACCATGATCCTTTCATTTTAAGTAAGCTTCTTGTTGCTTCTTCACTGCTAGACGTAGAATATGCAGCTTCCATTTTCAAGCAAATTCACAACCCAAATCTTTTCATGTACAATTCTATCCTTAGAGGCTACTCAATTAGCGATGACCCAAACCAAGCTTTTAGCGTTTTCAATAACTTGAGGGCTAAAGATGGGATTTTGCTAGACCAATTCTCCTTCATTACAACTCTTAAAGCCTGTAGCCGTGAATTTGCAATCTTTAATGGTCAAACGATTCATGGCCTTGCTTTGAGATCTGGGCATGTGTTTTTCATCAATGTTAAGAACACCCTTTTGCATTTTTATAGTGCTTGTAGAAGAATTTTTTATGCCCATAAGTTGTTTGATGAAAGTCCTGAAGTGAACGATGTCGTTTCCTGGAACAGTTTGATGGGGGGTTACCTTCATGTTTCTAAGCCTGATGTTGTTCTAGCTTTGTTCAGAGAAATGTGTTGCAGTTGTTTGACAGCGAGTGTTACTACATTTTTGACTGTTTTGTCTGCTGTTGGTGAAGCAGGGGATTCACTTGGGGGGCAGTCACTTCACGGGCATTGTTTGAAAGTTGGATTTTGTTTTGATTCAAATCTGGTGTCTGCTTTGATTGATATGTATGCAAAAACTGGAAACGTTTCTTCAGGGCGTAGGGTTTTTGATGAGGTTGTTGTGAAGGATGTTGTATTGTGGAATTGTATGATTAGTAAGTATGCTGAGAATTGCCTGCTTGAAGAATCTTTAGCTTTACTACGGCTCATGAAAGTTAAGCAAGTAAAGCCTAATTCAGCTACATTGGTAGGATTGCTTTCGGCTTGTGCTGCTTCTGGAGCTACAAGTCTAGGAGAGAGCATTGGTAGTTATGTGGAAGAGGAAGGATTACCGTTGGATGCTGTTATTGGGACAGCTCTGGTTGATATGTATGCTAAATGTGGGGTTTTAGACAAGGCCATTGATATTTTTGAGAGGATGGAGAGCAAAGATGTGAAATCATGGACAGCGATGATTGCAGGTTACGGGGTTCATGGTTGGGCACTAGATGCCATCAGAGTATTCTACAGAATGGAGGAAGCAGGATGTAGACCTAATGAAGTCTCATTTTTGGCAGTTTTGAGTGCTTGCAGTCATGGAGGGCTGGTCATGGAGGGGATGAAATGTTTCGAGAGGATGGGTCAAGAGTATGGTATTATGCCAAAGATTGAACACTACGGAAGTATAATTGATCTTTTTGGTCGTGCCGGATTGCTGGAGGAAGCACATAATTTTATCAAAAGGCTGCCCATCAAAAGCGATGCTACTGCATGGCGTGCACTGCTCTCAGCTTGCCGAGTCTATGGAAATGTTGAGTTGGGGGAATGTGTGAAGAGTATATTGGTTGCATTCGATAATGAACAACATCCCACGGATTCAATCCTTCTTTCTAGTACTTACGCCATTGCCGGAAGATTGCCGGATCAGACAAGGATGCAGGTACTGGAAAAAGATATGTTTAAAAGGGCTGGGATCAGGCCAGCAGGAAAGGAGGATAAGATTATGAAGCAAGCTGGATATAGCACAATCGAGATGGACTGTGAGGGGTTTGAACTCTAGTTGCTCATAGACCTCCCACCATCAGCCTGGCTTAACCTGGAATGTTTCTTTAAGTCTTTTCTAGACTAATTCTGCAGATTGGCCGGCAGTATTAGTTTGCTGCTTTAATTTAGTTACTAGTTTACTCAATTACTGCATATCTGATGGTAAAGATGCCTATGTTGAGCTTTTTGTTACTCTCCATTTATTTATTGTTTTTCTAAATTTTTTGTCAAAAAGTGAAGAAGGATATTTGATCAAGTGAGTTCCTGACAAATGCAGCTTCTTTCGAAAGTTTGAAAGGCTATTTATCCTCTTAGTTTGGGGGCTAAAGTTCATTGTAAAGCATGTTTAGTAGTCCTCCATACCAAGTTCATGCATTCCAAAATGAGTTTACATGGCCTCCGAGAATTTTTTTTTTAAAAATGCATATACAGATTGAATAAGTTGATAGAACTCCAGGCAAAAGGATATGAATCCCATTTGCCTACAGGCTAGCCGGATGATGGCTGCTTGCTCACAGACTCTAACTAATTACAATTACAAAATAGTGGGACAGTTCAGATTGAACAACCTATAAGATGCAGTTGGTGAATGAAAAAATGAAGACCATACCTGATTTTCTTTCAAGAAGTGTACAAGAAAAGGCAACAAAATGCTCTAAAGAAGAAAATGATGTGTTAACTAATCTCAAAATCCAAGAAAAAGAAAAAGAATAAAAGTCAATAGGGATTCCTCCAAATGTAATTTCTTGTATCCTTCCACTTTCTTTCCTACATTCTTAATCTCTTTCTCATTCTACCTTCCGATTTCTGACCCAGTATCCTTGATCAAAGCTCCTTTTGTGTAAATTGGACAAGAACTCTACAGTTTCCAGTGGAAAGGAAGACTGCCATGTAAAAATGGCAATGCCGGTCCCCAACCCAATGTTCAGGCGAAAAGAGTGGTGTTCAAGCTTCATACTGTTATGCATTAAGGATGTTATGCCGTTCACATACTTTAGCCCCATTTTCAGCCCACCACTTTTCTGCTTGGTCTTCTGTGAAATGCTTTCGACTGTAAAAGAGCATAAAATCCTTCAGAACAATCAGACTTCAAAATTTTCTTGCAGTGAATTGTATACATCCAGTGGAAGAAAATCAGCAAATGTGAAAAGCATATTGAATCATGGTCATACAAGAAGGTTCAGTAATGGAATTCAATTGTGTTGGTTTCTTACATATCTTGAATTCAAAGAGAGGATATAAATACATACCTAAAGCGAACACGCTTGAGTTCATTGCTGCCATTGGGCAAGGGTGACAAGGTTATGTACACTCCTGGTTCATCTTGTACCACTGATTCTGACTTTTCAGTTTTTCCTTTAGTTCCATGAGAAATGGTTTCTGAATTGCCATTTACTTCGCTTCCGGTAGACATCATGCTGGTTGCATGGCTTTCATTGCAGAACAAGTGCTCAATGTTTGAGGTGAAACTGGAATTGATGTGGGCATTCTGCCCTGCAGGAAGTAGATCAACCACCTCCTTCAACTGCAAGATCAATTCGCATAAAAAATATCAGAGAATAGTAAAGTTAAGTTGCAGGCGATTGCATAAGAATCAATAGAACCCCCCAGCCCTGAAGGAAAAGAAGAAAACTGCAAGTATTTCACCAAGACTGCCAGTTCTCTTGACCAGGGAAATTTAAATGTTACTCATGAAACTCTCACATTCACTATCATCTTAGTGCTCAGCTTGAGAATATTAACATCAGCTGAAAAGGAAAACCTTGAATTTATAGCACACTGCTGAACGGATGATTTCACCTCTTTAAACATTTAAAGTAATACTAATTGCTCATAGTATTTGAAAAAAATGCCTTTAGCAATGATCTTTAGCGGCTATTTCACAAATGATTATGCATGTGTAATTAATAGGATTTTCTTTCCCTCTTTCCACTCTTCTCTAGATTTCTTCGTTATAGTTTTGAAACTTTTAGTCCCATATCTTGCAAACCAAGATTATACTATCCAGTTTGCAACCCCAAGCACATCTGTCTTTAGTATATCTCTATAATTTGTATATAACCTCATTAAATGCCCTAGGATTTGAAATACATATACTTTTACTCTCTTCAAACAATTGAAACTGTGTTCATCTATTTTCCTAATTCTGAAAAGTAAAATCTTGAGCAGAGAAATCCAACCTGAGCAGTAAGAGACCTAATAACTTCCTTTGCTGATTTGCATTTTTCCGCTTCATTTTCTGCTATTGCAGTGACCTCCTTTAATTGCTTTGATGTTTTTCCAAGTTCCGCCTCAAGACATTGGGATTTGAAAGTAAGATCTTCTACCTGCAAAAATTGTCCAGCAGGTTTATCTTCTCATCCTTTAATCAATTTAGACAAGTGAAAGAGTTAAATAAATAAATTAATCAAAAGCCAATGGTAATGTGTCACCATTTTACCGAAAAAAAGAGAGGGGACAGGGGAAAGGAGACAGAAACTAGAGGGAAAAGGGGACGAACAAGAGAGAAAGTGGGAGAAATAGAGAAACAAGTCTCAATAATATTTCACATCATCATCATAGGCTGCCTTCAATGGAATAACATGGGTCCTATAGACTAGTCTCTAACCCTAGTACTTGGTCAACAAACAAAATCACTTGGTATAAAAAACCTGAAAAACCTTCCAAAATCCTAAAATATATGACCGATTACAATTGGGCCCATAAAATACATACAATTAACAAAATGAATTCCAAACTCATATAGTTCTTCCATCAACATCATCCTCTTTTCTGTTGAAGTAAATCCCAAAGTAACTTCTATATAGAACAGATCATTTCTCCGTTTCTTTTGAAAGCAAGGCAAAGAACAATGCATGCTCATTGCTCCGTAACGCCAATGACTCACATTGAACAAAATAAGTAACAAAGTTGTGATTGGTAAACAAGATTTCAACAGGCTACCTGTGCTCTTAAATTTATGATCTCTTGGTTGATACTGTCATTCATTTGCCTTGAATCATCAACAGTTACTTCAGAAGATCGTTGTGGGCTTGACTTTTCTGAGCCAGGAGATGTTGCCCGAGAAGACTTTCTGGAACTAGGTATTGAAGCTGGTAAAATTTTCTTAGAATCTCCGACCGGAGAAATTGATACCTTTGGTGAATAAAATCCTCCAAGATGAAAATTTCCATTCTGAGATTGGAAGAGGGAACGATTTTGTAATTCTAGCTTTAGCTCACGCTTGAAAATCCGGCTTTCAGCCTGATTACTTGAGTCAGCAGAAGAAAGTCTGGAGAGTTGTGTATGTAACCTGGGAGCAAAAGTCTCTCTATCTATCATCTCATTGGATTTACGAGGCAAAATTCCATTTCTGGCTTTAGGAGTCCATACAGCAGAACAAGATTCTGCAGCTTTTCTCAATTTAGTGAAACAATCATCACACACTCGATAAGGTTTGTTCATAGTTGGAGCCAAAGAAGCCTTCAGAGACTTTTTACTAGTGCATGCTTTGCAGAAGACCAATCCACAATTGTAACAGTTGTGACGTTTTCTTCTGAATCCAAATGGATTCCGACAACCAGAGCACATAGAATGATCAGCACTGGATACCCATTTATGAAGACATATAATAGCAGTAAAGTTTGAACCACAAACTACACTCTTCACTTGCTTGTCTTTCAGAAAATCAACAAGAGTTGGTGTATTTCTGTCGTCAGTATCTCCATGACCTAATTGCCCATTTGAGCCCTTTCCCCAAGTATAAACCTCTGTTTGGGATGTCAAAATAGCGACATGATACGATCCACAGGCAATCTCTTCCACAAAGCTCTCTGCTATTTTACCTTCAACCCGAGCTGGAACCCTGCCATGAGCTGTAGGACTCCCCAACTGACCATATGCCGAACTCCCCATTGTATAGACTCGTCCTGAGGTTGTAAGAGCAACTGTGAGATTATGTCCACAGGCAACCCGACAGATATTGTCATCAACCAGAGCAGCTACACATTCGGGAAAAAGTCTAGGTTCTTTATCACCATGTCCAAGTTGGCCTTTATCTCCATCCCCCCAAGTAAACAGTTTTGCAGAAATAGAGCTCTCTGGAAATCCAGAATCAGATGATTCAGTCACAACCTCAACAACTGCAGCAGTGTGCCAAACACCACAGGCAACCCTTGTCGTCCGTAGTCCACTCAACGTCTCCACTTCCCGTGGAATAGTTGTGCTAGTATGATCTCCGTGGCCTAGGGCACCAAAAGATCCATCTCCAAATGTGAACAACAGGCCACCAGATGTCACAAGAGCTGTATGCCAAGGTCCACAGGATACGTATGTGACATTTATACCCTCCATATTGCTTACCTTTTTGGGGATCCAGTGACTGACTTCACTTCCATGCCCAAGCAGACCTGAGTTGTGTGTTCCATCACCCCATGTAAAAAGATCACCGGAGACTGTAACAGCACAAGAGTGATACTCCCCACATGCTACCGATTCAAAATTCATGCCACTGAGAGTATCTATGACCTTAGGGAGGGGAACATCTGCTTCCACGCCATGCCCAAGCCTGCCCCCCGATTCCTCCCCCCAACTAAAAATCTCTCCTTGCTTTGTGACTAAAATTGCATGCCTGCCTCCACAAGCAATATTATGCACATCTAGAACCACTGTTGATTCCAATTCCTTTGGCAGAAGTGCATCCATCTTTGAATTAAATGAATTGCCAACTTTGTGCACACCACCACCCAATACTCCATCACCAACACCTTGTCCCCATATGAAAACATCACCCAAGGCATCAAAGTCTTCATGACAAGAACCATGGCTTGATGAACTTACAGCACTTGATAAACTGACTCTAATTGCATCAGCCCCAGAACTTCGACTATTTAAGTTCTCTACAGACCCAGATGATGATAAGCCAAAATCAACTAAATCTGGCTTACTGGCAGTCCTGGTTACAGCAGTATGTGTTATTATGTCAGCAAATGCCTTTCCCAACCTATTTTGTGCCTCATAAGATGCTTGATTTCCTTGAGCATCTCCTGGATCCTTTAATAATGAGAAAAGATTAAAACACAAATTAAGAAATTAAAGGTCATCATGCCTTCCATAAAATTAAAAACAGAAAAAGATAATGCAACATACAAATGGTGAAATTGGAGAAGTCTTTCGGTTGCGTAATTGAGGACTATCCAATGATGCACTGTCACTTTTTACTTCGATTCTCCACTTCCGAGTGGTACCACGAGAAATCAATCCCTTAAGACCAACGAACCAAACTTCAGCTTCATCCTTATCTTTACATATCTGGCCATAGTGAAGTATGGTATTAAACCAAAATATTCACAGAGCAAAGTAGCTCTGGTAAATTTTACTGATATTGATACATTTAACAACTCTGTATGCTACAATAGCATCCTTAAACATGCACTCACCAAATCCAAGGACCTGTCACTGCATATCAGTGAAAATGATTGATACTCCTTTTCAGGCCGAGGATATCTTTGAAAAATCGCCTGCAAGGAAAATAAACCATTATCATTATTGAAGTTTTGGGAATCAAAGAATAAACAAAAAGTTACAAACTCACAGTGCGCTGTCCAGGAATGATCCTGGAAACTTGACTAAGCTTAAGATGCTTCTCTTCTTTTCCAGAGTACCATATCAGTTTAGATTCATCCTGAACACAACATCAAGTATCAGATCACAAAGAACAGCAAAATGAAGGAACTTTCGAATGACAAATCGTGCTCCTTTTACTGATCATTAGAACTCAATTCCAGGTTTTTAGAGTCAATGTTTTTATAGCAAATTTTTTCATCAACAATGCCAAAAATATAAAATGTCAGTAAAGGACTAAGAGAAGCATTCATATATTGAAGCAATAGACAAGTGCAAATGGGACGAAAACAGCAAGTAGCCTTCAAACTTCAAAATGGAAAAATGTGCAAAGGCAAACGTACATTAGAGAGATGGAAAGGGCAGAACTTGGGCTTCCCTCTACGTCCATACTTGAGCAAGTACGCCCCTTTCTTAAGCGCTGTAATGGCCTGTAAGATGAATCCAAAATGAAATACAAACACTTGAAAAACAAAAAAAATGTTACCTTTATTAATATCCAACAGTAAGCTAATAAGAAAAATATGATTAAAAGTTGAGAAAGGAAACCTGGTCGATATCCCTCTCGGCGAGACCACTTCTCTGTGGATCAGCCATTCAAGGTGAAGCCATTTGACCACCAATCCACCCTTATTGCTTTCCAACTTAGCTCCATGAAACACCTTACACTTCACAGAGCCACCATTTCTGTAATTTTTACAAACACAAAAGATTTCGATTTCCCCCCTTTCTTTCTTCCTTTTCTTTTTTTATCTAACCCATAATTCGATAACTCCAGCTCTCAAAAACAGCTCAAATTTCACTCCGAACCCTAGAATTTCATGCATTTATGCTCAAAATAAAGCAACAAACTCCTCATTTCTTCCACATTTCGAAGATAAGCTTCGATCTTTTTCGACGATGCCGATGTAATTTCCACCTACAATGCCAGAAACAGCGCCAAAATTTCCACTTTTTTCTGGGACGAATTCCGAGGCCGTTGAGCTCCCGACAACTGTTGAAAGGACATATACATATCGCAGATCTTCTGAAGGTGAGGAACCGAATAAAATTCTCAGATTCTGAAGCTTTCCTTTTTATTTAGGAATTTGTCATTTGAATCAAAAAATACCAAAAAAGGAAAAGTTTCGATTTTCCTTTTGTCCTTTTTGTCTCTCTCTCTGTGTCCGACGACGGGGAAGCTTTTTTAACTGTCTGTTTGTCGATGAAAGCTTCGGTTTTGGAGCCCCGGGTTGATCATGCCACGTCAGCAACCGAAAATCTCCGTGATAGGGATTGTTTGTTTCTTGTCTTTTGTTAGTTTCGTTGTTCGGTTCCGCCGTTTGGCGCCTCTTGGATTGCCTACGCCCTTCCACGGCAATCATCCCCTGCGTCACGGACCATGGTATTTACTCTCCTCACGCCCCTGATCATCACTCTTTCCTTTTTCTTTATATATTATTATGAATTTTATTTTTCATAATTTTTCCTTTTTATATTAAAAAGTACAGCGTATCTATATTATAAAAAAAATTAAATTTTAATATATAATAAATTAAAATTATTATTATTTTGTTAATTTTTGTTCTTTTCCTTTTGGATGATTGATATGTTAACCTTTAATAATATAATCTTTTTGAAAGTTATCTTTATTTTTTTTGGGACCATCTTAAAATGTAATTTATTCATTTAATTATACATTGAGTAACAAAACTAAAGGCTTTGGTTTCATTAAATTGACATTAACAAAAATTATAATTGTTGAGCCTTCAAGTCAAAAGAGAAAAAGAAAAAGATGAAAAAAGTTTACTTTTTCTTTTCTCAATAAAGAAAAAGAAACAATTGGCTTTAGAATTATTTTGTCTTAAAAAAAGGTAGTCCTACCATAAAATTGGGCTTAACCCAAATCCAAACTTGGCCTAGTGTTGAGAGAAAATTTTACCCAAAAGAATTGGGTTTAACCAAAGCCCAAATTAGTTTTAAGCATTATTAAAGTAGTGCATGCTTTCTTTCTTTTTTTTAATCAATATAAAATGATTTTATCTTTCATAGAAACAGAAGACTATGGAAACACTATGAAATATTAACCACATTTAATTTTCTCAAATATGTTACTATTACTATTTATTTTCATTTACATCCTTTACCGGTACAATATGATTTTATTTTTCAAAAGTTTTGTTCTTCGAAAAATTAATTTTTGTTTTCTCAATAACGATTAACATAATTTTTGTTGTGTAACATTTCCGATTTTATTTTTTTCATAAGTTGAAAAAAAAGAGTATTGTGCATATCATACAATACAAAAACTAAGCAGAAGAAGAATCCTTATATATTTCATGCCCATGTCACAAATATGATTGACATTTTACATAGATAATCAGCTGAAATTTTTTAAAAGAAGGATATTCAATATATATAATCATCATCAAAGATCATGTAATTGTTGCTGCGCTTGTGTCTTTCTTCCCTTTCAGCCTGCAATTCACAACATAATAAGACGATGAACGTAAATTGTATAATAATTATTTTATTTTTTTGTTACAGAATAATTATTTCATTTTATGAACCGAACGGTGCCGTAAATACAGGATGAGGCAGGGCATACCTTAGTTACAAGCCTTGCGAATTCTTCAGTCCCGTGCTCTTGGATGTACTTCTCAGCAGCAGCAAGGATGTCGTCTTGCTTGCTGAAGATGTTTTTCTTGCGCGGGACATACCAGATTGTACTGGCACTTTGAGGGTTCATGTAAAATGGTCGAATGAAGTGACGATAAACATATGCTGCTCCGTTGAAGTGAGGTAAGACCAACCAGCATGTCACGATTAGCTTAGCATAAGGCCAGATAGGGAACCTGCAGGATCATTCAAGGATGAACAACATGAAAATGTTGCTCGATTTACTGTGCTACCACCGTCCCAAATTCGTACTCTTATCATTGAGTTAAATGTTCGGATATTTGTTTGGATTCTTCTTATCGAAGAACAAATCAATCATTTTTAGCAGTGTTTGAGTTCTTAGACAAGCAACATTAATGAATCTACTGCTATAATCAAGTGCTTATACATAGGTGGTAGCCAGAGGAGCTGCAAATCAAATAACCCATTTGAGAAACTGGGCATAGCAAAAAGCAATCATATCTAACTAAAACTGATTTAAGAACTGCGTCGAACCTAGCTGAGCAAGCTTGCTTACCATTCAAGGACTTTGGCAAATGTAAGTTCGAAGAGTGTAATCATAGAGTAGAGGACCCAATATGTCAGCCATTGCTGATCATCGTTGCTGGATCTCGTCTCGATAGCCTTAATTGAAGCATATCTATCAACACCACAGAATCTCCAAAGTGTTAGATATACAAGAATGAAGCTAACAGTATTGTAATCGCAATCTAACAGAACTTCACGTAATCCGTACTGTCCTACTTACAGAGGGTAAACAAGAGTGACCAGAGGCCTGTAAACCAGAAAGAAAAGAAACTCACTTAGAAAAGAGAACTCAACATATTAAAAGCAAAAGCTAAGGTTGCAAAAAGAAAAGGAGACATACAAAGCAAGAACATCAAAGTTCTTGGCAACAACTTGGAGAAAGTTCTGGGAACCCATCACTCTCTTGCTTCTGCTTACTAAGTTTAACTTTTGTCTCTGAGGGATTGGTTTGGTTTTCCTTTCTCAGGTTGTAAAAAATGCAGAGAGCATGGCAAGTGTCAAATGTGAAAGGGTTGACGATTAAACTTTGAAATTGAACAAGGGAACAACAGTGGGAATGTGGGGTAAAGGGTCCCTTCTTTTTGGCTGGAAGACAGATTTTTCCCCGGAGAATCTTATGCTGCACAAGAAAAGAGGCACCGAATACTTTAGAATAAAATCATGTGTGGTTGTGAATATGGTCTTCACACATGAATCACCAATTACACTGTGCCACGTCAAGATCAATGCCTACTATGCAATGACCAATAGCCCAATATCTTAGGCCCTCTGTGTTTGGGTTTGACAAGATTTTTATATTGGGTGTTTCGGTTTATTTTTTTAATAAAAGATAAACATAACTATTATAAAATCAAATGTTCGTCCAATCATGAATTATGAGTAATAATATTAAATTATTATTACGAGTTAAAGACAATGTAACACGTGTTAGAAATATATGTTTTTTACTTTCATTGTTCAAACAATATCAAAACGTTGGTGATATCTTGTCACATAATTGCAAAAGAATGACATAATACGGACCAATTAGGCTTTTAGGCCTTTTTGAGTGAGTCCAGACATATTTATTTTTCGCATTTACAAATTTGTAGAATGTGTTTTCATAGAAAGGAGGAAAAAAATAATTTCCATCCAATTATTGAGTTGTGCAATGAGTATACATATATTATGCATAACTCAATTATTCGAATTCAGAGAAAAAAAACATTTCATACATGTCGGATATTTCAGCTATATATGTTTTTTTATATGAATTTGTAAAACATGTTGAAGAATATCCTTTTATGATAATTATAATTTTATTTGTGTATATATATATATATATATGTATAGTGTTCAGAAAAAGGAAAAGAACCAAAAAAATTTAATATTTAGTTATAGAGAAGCTTTAATGGATGTTAAGGCACAAGCATTTTGTTTAACGAGATACATATGCACATTAATTCCATAATATTAAATGATATTAAATGATTTCTAGATAATGTTGTGGATTGAGCTAGTGTTACTTGACTCTTGACAAATTCCATCAATGCACCAAACCAGTCACATGACATTCATTTGTCAGATTTCTTTTTCCTTGGCAGAAGGAGCGAAATAAAGAGGAGAAAAAGAAACGTGGTGTGTATATAATTAAGACCATGCAACATGACTAAACCGTGTAGTTCAAGCCCCATGTGGTAATGTACAGTTGTTTCCTTGAGATAAAGAAATAGTACTTGTTAAGAAAACAAGAGAGAGAAAGAGAGAGACCATGAGTTTCCTTTGTATTATTTTGATGTTTAAGAATTGTTTTCGTATAAAATGTGATCGGTTTTGTGAGTCAAGAGATCCGTTTGTAGAGAGATTGCTTTGCCGATGTTACTTTGAAAGCATGATCGGTTGCTGATAAAATATTCTTATCCTGCTTCGTAATAAAAATAAGGGAGAGAGAAAGAGAGAGAGAGATCAATGTAGAGTCCTGAAATATGTAAGGCTAGCTAGCTAGCTAGCTAGCTAGAACAGATTGATGCCATGCCAGGGTGTACTTATAAAAGCTTTCTGATCAACAGGCATAATGGCACCCCATGGTTTTGCAACAACTATTTTAACTGATATGCTTCAGCTTTAATTGATATTTGTAGCAAATATTGGCCTCTTTGGAGTACTTTTCATGGAGGAAACACTGGGGAGTGAATTAAAAGAACAAAATTTGCATCAGATTTTGATAGTACGTACTGTTATTTTCTTCAGTTGCTGCAAAACCAGCTCAGCACAAAATTTTTCTGTTGATTGGTCTGGAAATAGAAAACTGAACAATACATGATCATGAGATTTGAATTTAAACTCCAGGCCCACTTTCTGGTTGATCTGAGTACTACTATTCCTCTTCATCTATTCCAACCAATTTCAGATTTATTTTTCATGGACATGAAAAGGACAAGTTGCAGAGAGGAATAATGAAGGAAACACAAGGCTTGCTGTCTGTAATATGGGGACCTAAACGCCCTGCAGTATCGATCGGGGCAATGAGATTTTTATTTAGACTACGAAAGAAGAGTTACAATTTTCAAAATTAAGATTAATAACAAAACCTAGACTCTTTGCAACGTAATATTACAAGTGAATGTTTTTTTGAAAATGTGATTGAAAGATAAATCTGGGATTTTGCTCTTATGCCTTTCGATACGATCAGCAGCCTCGATTTAGGAAAAAATATTGGCGGACCACAGATTTGGATGAGATTAGCTTAAGCATTTAGGGGGAGTCAGGGGGTCACTAAAATTGAATTTGATTCCTGGTAGATCAAGCATGACTCATCAGAAAGCTACGGAAGAGCATTTAATGCTCTTCAATGATATTGGTTTAGATGACAACTAGTAACAGAGAAAATAAACTACCATGACTGATCAGCAATCGAGGGCCATGGAAAGCATGAGGGTGAATTTTTTTACGGTTCTTTGGAACAAGATAAAGCTAGCAGATTGATTAACTCTGATCGAAGGATTCCTTGCAGTTATGGCAAGCAAGATCATCTTAGTGAATAATGAATAGTGTGGCCACCAGCCCGGTACCACTTGATTAATTAACAGCATGTGAAAAGTCATGGCAATGCAACTTTGAGAGAAAATGTGCTATCACTCAGCATGCATCCTTTCTCTGACTGTAATTCAGCAGTTGTTGGACCATGATGAAGAGCATCATTTTCTTTTCGTTACTTTTTTTTTTAATTAATTTTAATGGCAGCCCTAAGTGATTTCATTCGTGGAGAGAAAGGACAATCAGTTCAAATGATTTTGTCCTGCCGAGGATAAATAAGCAAAGAAATTTTTTATACGAAACAAACTCTGATTTTGTCAATTCGTCTGTCGTAGAGCTTGATCCTAACGATATGCTTAAAAAGTAAAGCTTGGGATTCTACCGATTAGATCTGAGATAATGTATGTCCTACCTGATAAGCATTGCCTGTTTGATTAATTTATTAAAAACACAACCTTCCTTTGTTTTCTTCCTAGTTAGAGTACAAAGTAGGTACCTGACTGTAATTTTCTACTTAAAACTAAATTAATCCTAACAATATGTACCTTAGGCTGACCTATGCTAATCAGTCCAGGACAAATAAACGAGGATTCATCCTAAACAGTAGTCATCAGGGCCGTGCATGATTGAATGTTTTTTCATGTAGATGTTAGGGCTAGGTACATCCACTCTTAGAAAGCATCATCCCCTTTTTTCTTGGAAAAAGAAGCTGATACCAATCTAGAACTATTTCCCTTTGTACCAACAACAATGCAATGCAAGTGGAAATCACTGTGACTGGTATGCTTCATGGAAACGCTGCCACAATGGAAAAAGGTTCCCAATGCAGGAAACCTTCAACACCAAAGAGAAATCGCCATTGCAACTTGCAGCAAAGCCTGCCCTTGGGAATCTAAGTTGTACCAGAGAACAAGACGAAGAAGAAGTAAATGCAACGATCTACCACTAACAGAAAAGAAACAACTGATAACCTTAAATGCCTAGAAGACCCACATCTTGGATAATTACCTGTTACGCGGTGCACCGAGTTAAAGGGTTGCAAGAGGAATCCATCAAAAGGATGACCCACTTGGTGAACGGTTCAGAGATATGAATAAACATATGGGTGACAGGTATGCGGTAGGGACATTGAAAGACCAACCATTCAGTATCTTATACATATATCACCAGCAAACTTCCTTATATGAATAAGATGAGGAATGATCCTCTTGTTAGTTAGTGATTGCTTACTGCTTTTCGTGGCCTGTCACACCCACAGGCCAGGGGGCTCACCCACCTGAAGAGTAAACCTCAAAGGCTGAAATGTGATCACGTGTGGGCTCCCTCCCTAATTCTTGAACATGATTCAACTTTTTGCTGATGATGTAAATGGCACCAACGAATCACAAATTTTGCCCGTGGAAGCTTGAAATAATGCAGAAATGAGGGAAGCATATGGACAGTAAGCAATGCACTAAAAACAACTGAAACCCCTCATCACTCTCACCATTTTTGTGAAGGATTAATCAAGGAAAGCTTTAATGTTAACAGGGAAGGTATGCAGTATTGCATGTGTAGCTAGTCTCCTTCCCTTGTACCTATAGATTAATCTTTTGTTAGGTAATGCGAAGATATTAAACAAATTAACCAACACTGATAGCAAATTAATTCTCTCATGATCAAACCCTAATTAATTTTTTCTCATTACTCACACCAAAATCGAATATATCACACTCAACTTCAATAGCATTCAAACTTTGCTGCCTGTGTTGCAAATTGGAAATATATGTACTACTAAAAATAAGTGGAAAAAGAATTAAAGCATGATCAAGCCATACACTTGTAAAATTTTTGCTCCAAGGGCATGGCGGACGGGACTAGCTAGTTGAATCATGCCTATCTCCTCCACCATGGTGTTGATGTGATCCGCTGGCCGGAGAGTCAGAAACATTGCTGCCTGGAATCTGCCTATACGCGTTCAGTGCCGCGAGCACGCCTAAATGACTGTCGGTAACTGAACCGCCGGCACCAATTCCTGAACCAAATTGTTGTCCAGGCAGGAGAGCCATTGGAGTAGCGAAATTCATGAAATGCACCCCGCTAGACATAGAGCCCCTATACATGTTAGTATTACTAGATGAAGGAAATGTCCACATGGGATCCCCAGCGCCACTCCCGCTCATGACTTGGTTGCTAGGATTGGTCACCATCCAAAATGTTGCCGGATTCGGATTATGACTGGCCGGAATTGAACCTGTAGTCGATTGTAACAAGTAACTCCCCACCTGATTCTGTGACAAGTCTTGATGCTGGTCAGCCCTTCTCTTCTTCCCCACACTAGTATCCGCCTCCTCCGCCACATCCACGCTAGTGTCCCGCAACTCTTGCTTAGCTTGCAAGAAAGCGTTCATACTACTACTGCTAGGAAAGTTTAATGAATCGTCTGACGATAAAGCAACTCCCGGAAATAAAATCCTCCTATGTTGTTGGTGAGATGGTGAGTCGTCAAGCACGTTCCTCTCCCACTCGCTTCTCATCCTCAATTGTTGCGTAGAAAAATTTGGGTTGAAGTAAGTGTTTCTCAAG